GGACATCAGTGAGGACCTCTCGTGGACAGCCAACACAACATCACTGGCAAAGAAAGCTCAGAGGCGCCTCTACTTTCTCCGCAAACTGAAGAAGGCAAGAACACCATTACCCATCCTGTGCACCTTTTACCGAGGCACCATTGAGAGCATCCTGACAAACTGTATCACTGTGTAGCACTGACTACAACAGGAAAGCCCTGCAGCGCATAGCGAACACAGCTGGAAGGATCATTGGTGCCTCACTCCCCTCCCTGCAGGACATATACGACACCCGCCTCACCCGCAAAGTGTCCATGATTGTGCGCGACTCCAGCCACCCCTCACACAGTCTCTTCAGCCTCCTGCTCTCTGGGAGAAGATACCGGAGCCTCCGTGCTCTCACCACCAGACTCTCAAACAGCTTCGTCCACCAGGCTGTTAGGAAGCTGAACTCTCTCCCTCTTCTCTTTTAAGACTCCCCATGTCCAACTGCTGCTAAATACAGATTGATAGTTTTTTGTTTTTTTTTCTCTTATTATATATATATTGTCTAAATGTTTTTTTTATCTATTGCACTGTATTCACTTTATATGTTTATATGTTGGACTAGAGAGAAACGTATTTTCAACTCCCCTGTATGTCCAGTACATTGTGGAATTGACAATAAAGCAAACTTTGAACTTTGAACTTTGAACCTTAGCAAAGAGTAATTTGTCTGCTCTGGGCTTCCGTAGATAAAGCTCTGATGGTCAAAATAGATTTAAAAAGGCAGAGGTCTGCTATATCTGGAGTGCACACACATTCTAACACTAATAATATTGTGTTTGACAAGATAAAGCTTCTTGTTGCATTCATGAGGGGCCAGGGAAATTGAGTGCCGGATTGAATTAAGTTATTGGTAGTTTGGGTTAGTATGCTGCGTGGCAATGTCAAGCTAAGGTCAACGGCTATTTTAACCCCCCCATTCACTTTAATAAATCATAAAATTGGAGGTGAGAGCGGCAGCGCCGAGGCAGCAGGATATCAGCCGATATGCAGAGAGGGAGGTCCGTGACAGTTTAAATGCTGCAGGAGGGGGGATGTGATTGGAGGATGGGAGAACTAGCTATATGTGTGTGTGTCAATAATTGGCTCGCCGCAGAGTGCGTTTGGGTAATTGATAATAAAAAACAGTCAATACAATCCTCAGATCGTTCTCCTGAAACTGCACTAGAACCCTTCATTTAGAATTTTCAGCATACAATATATTTTCTTAATTTGAAATTTGCCTGGAGTCATGAATTTGGATAATATCATTTCTTTTGTAAAATGAAAACTAAAAGGCACAATACCACTGAAATCATTTGATTTCACTGAATTGTTGCCCAACCATGCCACAATAGTTTATGTATTTTTATGTTTAAATGGATAGATTGGTTGCATTGTAGATGACAATGAATGAAAGGAAGCCAGAAAGTAAACTACTCCAAACGGTGCATTTGTGACACAAAATAAATATTGCGTTACTTTGTGGGTTGAACACCTTCATGATTCTTTTCTCGATGAAAAACAGAAATCAACAAGTATTTGATTCGGTGATGTCCTCGAGAATTTAAATGTTGCACCTTGAGATGTTTCTGATGTTGAAGGTGCATTTCACGCTGTTCTGATATCTGATCTGTGATCAGACTATACATTTGAGTTTCACATATATACTACTTTTTATAAACTAGTTTTAGGCTTCAAGATTAAGCTTTAGTCTAATTTAAGTAGTGGAGCTCCCCCAAAGGCTGTTCATACTCAAGAAATAGTGATATTCTGTTTCCTTAGAAAACAGTAAAAGTATATTAACACTACATTTGTTAGATCAGGGATGATGCATTTTTGTAGGCCAAACCCAGAAGTTAGCATCACACTGGTTCCCTTGACAAAATAAATGTATATGATACTCACACGTTTTGTTCTGCAAGATAATCTTCACAAACAGTCCTTTTATGATTTGTGAAGTGTGAATGTAATCGGCAGATGTAAAAAGCTAACGTTAGGCTATAAACTAACTAAAATACCGTCTCATGAGTAAGTGAGACTGCTCAGCACAATGTAGTCTCAAATTCACGTGTCAGACGTAAAAGCAAAATCATGAGACTACAGGTATTTACTGACTTACTTCAAGTCAAAGAACCGAAACATCATGTTGTGTTCCCCAGGCATCTAACCAAAAACCCATTGAAAAAGAAATGCTAACTCATCTCCTGGTTTAAGGACTCCTTCCTGCACCACTCTATTGAATGCTTTCTCTGTATAAATGTGTTCATGAAACCTGGAAGTGTCTCTCTCCACCTCTCCCGCCCGTCACCAGAGGAGAGTTGTCACTTCCTGCCTTTTCACATATCACTGTACTCCTTACAGGGATTTCTCTATACACACACACACACACACACACGCACACTTGCTTTCGTGCGGTGCCCTATCCACCACCTGCTCTCGTTCTTTATCTCTTTGTCTCTAACACACACGTACACTGAGATCTATATTTTCTCTTTGCTAAAGGGTGCCGACAAAACAAGAACAGAAAACAAAGCTTGAGCGTTTTCTTCAGAAAGCTCTGCCGCGATGATGCACGTGTTTCCGCCCTGCACACGGTCTCTGCACAGCATTGGCTCAGTTTGGGCTGCAGGAGTTTCTAGATAAGTGCGGTGGAACTGTTGAGATTCATTTTAATAAAGCTTTAGTGAAGTTGCAAAAGTCAGTGCGGTAGATTGATTTGACCTTTGTGAAATTAGAGCTAAAGCTTTCCGAGTTCCCTGAGCGATTACTGAGTGATTACATTACACAAACACACTTGTACACTGTCGTGAAATGACAGCTTTGAAGCACAGAGTGGGAGGGTTTTTGAGAGTAATAGTGCAGCGCGGAAATAATGCAGAGATCTTGCCTGATAAATTGATATATTAGAGGTAGTCAGTTACATAATGCCCGGCCCTAACAGGAGGGCATTGACTTATGAATGTTATCAATTATGTGACTTTTAAGGTGCAGTGTCCACCACCACTTATGTATCCTGCTGCCCACGTAATGCCACGGCACGATAACTCATCCATTTAGTTTTTTTGTCTCTCTGCTGCTAAATTGTTCACAGAAACTGAAGCAAACAATCACTGGGATTTATTATTATCTAGAAGCGAGAGATTTATATCAAGCTCCCCCCCCGATGTGAAACAGCATGCTGCGGCTGTTTGACTGTGCTGGATTATTGTGCTCGTAACAAAATGAATTTATATCTACAATAAGATGTTAATTAACGTTGACGTTGCTCCGGTTGCAACAATGAAGCAGCGTGCCGCGTGGGAGTTCACGATGTTGTGCGGCCGGTCGGTTTACTCAGGAAAGAGAGAAAGTGTCTCAATAAAGCATCGAACTTTGATGTATGTGCATGATTGCATTGGTCATGATGAAATTCAGGAAATGCACTGCATTCTTAAATGGGTCATACAGGTGGCTACCATAATCCGTGAATGTTAAAGCCAGGGTGCAAGTGCATTAAGATAAAAAATGAACAATACTGTTCCTGTCTTAGTTGGCTGTGACACTGAATCCCCAAGCTGAACTGTATCAGGATCCCTTTAGGGCTATTATCAGCTTAGCCATGATAAACAGTAGCTTCCTTACTTCCTGGTTAAAAGCACTTTGGATATATATTCCCTTTATGAAAGCTATTTAGACATTTACTCAGAACTGGAGACACTGCGATGTCTACCAGACACACTCTGCCTTCTCAAGTCACCTCACAGCACATCCCCACCCCTACGGACAGCTGTCTCATTGATGGCTGTCACTTTCAAGCCGTTTCACGTCATTCAGATACAGAGACACCGTTGACTGTTTGGGAAAATGATTACCCAGGACCAGATTTAGGTAATTATTATAATCATATGGCATCTTAGATTTAATGAACTGGAAAAGAAAAACACGGACAATTTCCAGACCGGCCAACACCGCGGTAGCGACCTGTCTATCACAAGGTAGCCCCGCCCTAAAGCATACCCTGCTTTATAGTCTATTTGACTCTAAATGAACCATAATTTTCTAAATAAACATCATGCTGTATTGAAGAAGACTTGAAACTAGAGATTGAGACCATAAACTCATGTTTACAATGTTTACTGAGGGAATAAATCAAGAGAGAAGTAGAGTCATTTTCTCATAGACTTCTATACAATCAGACTTCATTTTGCAACTCGAGTCGCCCCCTGCTGGTCATTAGAAAGAACGCAGGTTTAAGGAACTTCCGCATTGGCTTCACTGGATGTTGCTGCCTGAGGCCGATAAAGGATCAATGATTCTGCCAGACTAGACTAACATATTCAACTAAACAACCCCATGCCCCTGCACTGTAGGAGCTAAATGCACACACAGAATTGTTATACATGTTTAATTGTTTCAGTTTGTGTCAGATTTAACTTGAGGCATTCTTAGGTCACCGTCTTCCTCAGCTGTTCTCTTTCTTTTCTACTGCTGCTTAAACTAAAATATATATTGTACATATTCAGCGCTACCATTGCTGTATAAATGAGAATGGTTCGGCCAGCAATAACCTCAGTTCTGTATTTTCTTCCTGGCAGACTAACGGACAGACTTTTATTGCCCCGGCTGCTCTGCACAACTCTTATTGCACATCACATTATCTCCAAACTCTCGCCACCGTGGTGTCTTGAATGCGCTGTGTGATTAAATGAATTCAGTCCTAACAATGGAGCGGTACATCAACCCTCATCAACCAGTTCTGTCCACAGCTGTGAGCCGAGTTCGAGCGAAACAGTAAATCAACACTGAAGCAAAAGAGGCAGAGAACTGCTGCTGCACTGCTCCGCGTGGGCTGGAACTCTCCGGTATATTGTACAGCTGGCTGCATCCCAATCACTGGTGTTCCCCGTCTGCTGTCAAGGCCAACAATACTGGTTTCCAGTCAAATGGTGTGATTTAAAATGTGTTTTTCACTTCCGTCAGAGCTCATGTCAGATATCTTTAAATCACCTTTGCAGGATGGCCGTGTGTCCTTCATCGGCCACCAGCTGGGAGGTGTCTCCTTCTCGCCCAACAGCCGCGACCAGCAGGTCAAGTTCGCCCGGGCCGTCCAGATCACCTACTACCTCCGCAACCACGGACCCGTGGTGCAGGATGCCATCGCTGAGCGCTGGGAGAACGAGTTCTGCGCACTGGTCAGCCGGCTGTCGACGGCCGAGGCGCCCCACGCGCCCGACCAGCTCCACATCCAGTCGCTTACCTCCTTCAGCCTGTGGCGGGACTTCCACCAGACGGGCGTGCTGGCCAAGGGGGAGGTGCTGGTCAGCCTGGTGCTGGTGCTCCTGGCCGCCACCATCTCCAGCTCCATGCGGGACTGCCTGAGGGGGAAGCCGTTCCTGGGCCTGCTGGGTGTGCTGACCATATGCATTGCCAACGTGACGGCCGCGGGGATCTTCTTTATATCGGACGGGAAGTTCAACTCCACGCTGTTGGGGATCCCATTCTTTGCCATGGGTGAGTGTGAGCGCCAGGTTGTGACTGAGTCCGACTGTGTGTTTTGGGTGTGTGGTGGTTGGTTGAGGATCTTATCAGGAGTTGACACTCACATCGGGTTGATTGGGGGGGAAAGGGATTAGCAGAATTGTGATGGGCTTTTCCTCGGAGGAGATGCCGGCTGTTCTTTGTAGCTGTGGCAAAATACGAAGAGCTACATATGTGCAGCACATTCTTTGGCCTGTCAATTGTGCACATTTCATTCTCGTGCAAGGTCTTTCATCTTTTCATTGAAGTCATGTTTTCCTCAGTGTGGTGCAGGGGCCGGCAACCTTTTTCATTTTTAAATTGTCTTGTTCATCAATGTGCCATGTGAACATTAACTTTATTTATCTCATCAAAATTGAAATGTCCAGCGGATCTAAACATTTTTCCATCCATATAGGCAATGTGCATAGCAACCAAAAAAGAATACATTTTCTCCATTGTATATATATGAGAGCACTATACAAGCAGGCTGCCATCCTTGTAAAACAAATCCACATCTGGGTGTAAATCATTAACTCTTCCAAACTTCCACCGATCTTGATTATCAGCATTAAAGTTACCAAATTCTGCAAGGAGTCAACGAGTACTAGCCAATCAGAGGCAGAGTAGGGCAGGTTTTTGCCAAATGCAAGTGGGGGGGGGGGGGGGGGAATCAAACAGCAAATAAATAATGTAAATGACAGCATGCGCAACTGCCAAGAGTTGTGAAAAAGGTCATTTGACATCCATAAGAGAGAGACATTCCTAATAACACTTTCTTGCACACTTATTGCTAGTGTGCCATTGATGAGCTTGCCAATGGTGGCACGTATTCTGGCACGTATTCTGGTGTGGTGGACTTAGTAATAAACATCATAGACCCTTTTACAGTCAATGTCGTAAAACATATGTGTTTACCCCAGCCTTCCAGACGAGATAGCAAGCTTTAGACAATTAATCAAAACTGTTAACAGCTTCAAAATATCTAGTTGTTGCATGTTTGGTTGTAAGAATCGATATTCCACCAGCCGACTCTATTTCTACAGAATTCTGACCGGATCATGACCCTTTCAGAGAAACGGATGTTTAACGAGTGGCGATTTTAACTGGTGAGTTTCAGCCAGATTTCGTAAAGGGTTGGCGTAGATAATAAACACAGATGAGTATGTATTTAATCAGAGAGTCACTGATTAAAAGGGTCACTCTTTTACCGGCGGCATATGTGCTGGACTGATCAAAAATTGCTCTTGTTTGTAGCGCCCATTTAAAACCCAATAAAGTCAAAACTTTGAGTGTATGTCATGGTATTTGACTTGATTTACATGACAAATAACAGTTATAAGCATCATATAATGTCTAGCTGTAACGTTACACGCTAGGTTACACGATAGGTACGCGAGTTACGACAACAAAAATATGGTAAAATGAGTCCACGTTGACTTTTGGTTTCACACCAGACACGGACAGCGGTCGCTCGTGTGAAAGTCCTCCTATGTTTGTGTTGTTTGACCCTTCCATCCACCACTGACCTCCTCCTTTGTTCCTGCCACAATAACCACGGCCACTACATCTCGACGTCGTTCTCTCGTCTTGTATCGGTCATCACCCATGTCAATAGATGATAACGGCCCTCTGAACCCACTAATAGGCGTAGCAGACCCTTATCTATGAGGCTGGTAACCGCTGATAACGCCTATTCAATTGGCTGATATCGTTCAAGGACGGCTGACATAGCTAACCAGCAAGAGAGGGGCGGGTCGCACACATCAACACGGATCAGCTTTTGGTGATTTCTTTCTGATTTAATGTGAAATCTGGGTTTAGATCTGTGTTTCTGATTCTCATTAGATGTTGCCACATCCTGTCCTCTACTAATGGCATTGTACATTATTTTATACCTCCATTCTACCCTAAATCTTACTTATATTATATGTAACAGAATAAGATTGTGTAGACTCTTAATATACTGTATATTATTTTCCTTATCTCTTCCTCCCCGTCGGCCCTCTCTTTGCTTCTTCAGACATCCTCTGTTCAACTAAAGTATATCTTGCATTTCCTCACTGTGCGCTCTTAAGGTCACTGGTTCCCTGGGGCTTTGGTGCGGCTCGGCTGCGGGCCGGCTGACATAACTGAAGTTTTAGTAAGACTCGAGAACAGGAGGCTGGATCAGCTCCTTGTGACCTAGAGGCGAGGAGAGGAGAGGGAGGTGCGACGAGGGGGGCGGGGTGGTGAGAGAGGCTAAAAGTGAGAGTCAAGGAGAAAAGAGTGAGGAAGAAAAAAAACCTTGTGTGATGAATAGGATCGAACTAAAGGAGGGCACAGAGGAAGAGGGAATGGACAGAGACAGATACGGAGGGGAAGAGGTAGAGGAGAGGGGAAGAAAGCCACGTAACGGGGGGAAGAGGGGAAGGGCAAAGGGGATGGAGAGGAGTTGATTAAGTCTGTAATTTCATGTGACAGGACCCCAACAGCAGCAGATGTCCACCCTCCTCTTGGGAGGTCCTGACTGAGACACACCCCTATCACTATATCAACGCCACATCAGGGCAGATGCTGAGTGAAATGGATCCTGACACTTTACAAGTAATGGCAGTGTGGCGCCCCCTGCTGAGATGAGATCACCAGGTTTAATGCAAACTATGAGTTGAAACATTATTATATCATTTTTTAATGACATTTTATTTTTTCTATCATGATTTTTCAAGTTGGTGTCCCCACAGTGCACTTTGTGTTAGTAGGTGGAAGTGAGTCTGGGCAGTTTTCAGTAGGGACGAGTACGAGAAGTAGATTCATCAATCACCAACCGGACCAGAAAAAAAAAAATGTGAGCCCAAATAAAAAGAATTTTCCTTGGAATGTCAGGGTTATATTATTTCAAGGTATCCTCATACAACGGTTTGTCTTCTATCTTACGGAAAATATTTTGACACAATCGATGATGGTAAATTAAAGCTATTTATTATAATGAAGTAAAGAAATAGCTACAAATGTGAAGTATGTCGGTCAGTAACATCAGTAATGTGAATGTGTGAGCATGATGAAGTGTGGGGTGTTGTCAGCAAAAAAACAAAAGAACACCAAAGCAAGGCAAAAACGGCCAGACACTGGCAGGGATGAGTCCAGGTGAGCAGAAGAGACCAGAGCAACACTTGAGTAGGGCTTTTATTAACCAGGAGCTCCAGGACCAGGTGCGCTGCATCCGACACTCTGACGCAACCACGTTCCTGTGACACCTTCAGGGACACAGGGACAAATAACTGGCAAAACCACACTTGTACACTTGTAAGATAGGCAAGGGCCGTCACAGGTAGGTTTAGGAAAATATCATGAAATACTTATTAGGTTCAGGCAACAAAACCACTCATCGTTTGGGTTAAAATAACTACGGAAGTACCGTTACTGAAGTTCGCAAGTTCTGTTTTTTTGCATTTTAACGTCTTGGCTAATCTATCTTGCTAGCTAATTGTTGTGTTTGCGCATGCTTCATCAATTCAAGCATGTCAGGACATTGAGTCATTCGATTTCCGAATTAAAAAAGGAGCATTTTTTTGTCACTGGATGCGTTTTATGCTGGCGGGGAGATGGGATTTCAATGCCACATCTCAAACATCTCTCTCATTGCTCTAGTTCTCTCAATCTGCTTATCTGACATCCAACTAGCTAAAGCAGCTGCACATTAGTTACTGCTGTAAGTATCATTACTAATGCAAGTATAAGGAAATTGTTTTGATACTACAGCATTATGAAGCGTTACTTATCTGTCCAGTTTTTCCCCGTTTCTTCTCACACCACAACTTAAGGCCTTATTTCTTTTCTTGGAAGGATATTTTAACTTCACTATGTTATCCTTGTGCTAATGTGTTAGCCTGTGGCTACTGATGTCTGTTGGCCACAGTGCTAACACGTATTTTTTGCTGAAGCAGAGGTACACAGTCATTCTGCACAGTCCCATGGTTCATTTGAGCTGGTGATGCACACAATAAACCTAATTATCTTATCTGAATGTAGTCCCCCTGGCATTTTAGCTTGTTCTTGATCCCTTCATCTCTTCTGTGGGGACTACTGTGACACTTGGGATCATATTTAAAGCCCCTACTGATAGAATGTTATCATCTGTCAAAGGCTTGTGCTTGTAGAAAAACATGTAAATGCCACAGTGTCCTAAAATGTACAGACACTTTCAAATGATCCACACAGGCACTTCAATGCTACAGGAGGGCCTATAAATATGCAGCATTTTCCTAAAAAAAAGGTATAGACTGATTAAGAAAAATCACTCTCAATCATCACTTATGACCCACTAGAAGTGTTCGGTGGTGTCTGCCTGGATTCTCTTTCTTCTTATTTTGCTGTGTTCGGGACGTTTTTGGGCGTCAGCAAAGAGCCTTCGGGCTCCGCGTGGGGTTGTAACCCCCAGCTCATCAGCAGGGTGTGAAGTTAGATCTCATTCCCACCTTGTCAAATACCGCCACTGTCAAGCCCCTTGGCGTCTGATACTGAGGCACCCTTTAGCGTCTATGATCCAAAGTGGCGGTATTTGACGATGAAGCATGCACTTCGGCTGCATTCATTCTAAATCCAGCAGCTTCCCGCAGCCTTGTGTGGAGGTGTGTGTTTATTTGTGCTTTAGAACCTGCTTTGAAACTATCAGAAAATAACTTTCTATTTCTCTGACTCACTGGACTTTTTATTTATTTTATTTTTTTATTCTAAATCTCTGTGGGATGCTATGACAATATTTACCATTTGTATTACTATTTGTATCAAATTTGAGCTGAGATGCATTATGTCTCATTGAGTTATCCTTTAAACTGACCTGGGGTAAATTTGATTGGTTGATTTTAATGTGTTCATATCACTTGGAATACCTTTTTCAGTCTAAATAAGTCACCATAGACCTGCAACACAGTATCGTCTAAATGCACTAGCACAGAAAGTTGGCACAAAGGGCTCCATCGCCTAAATGGGAGGGCGTTGTAACCACAAAAACA